GGAGAGGGGCTGAGTGGGGACAATGAGAAGCCATCTTAGGAGTCCTCCCCAAAATTGTACCAAAATGGAGGTTCTTGGCTTGCTAAAGTTTGAGAGCCGCTCTTCTATAACAATACCGGAGCATAGCAAGCTTCCTGGATGTTGTCTCCACCACACACCAAAGCCCTGTGCGCACTGAGGGTACGTCTACACAGCAAAGTTATCCCGAGGTATCCCGAAATAGCTACCCCGCGTCTTTGGAACGCGTCCGCTATTTCGAAATATAGCCGAGGCGCTATTTCGCCATCCCTGTAAACCTCTGGAACGCATCCGCTATTTCGAAATATAGCCAAGGCGCTATTTCGCTATCCCTGTAAACCTCGTTCTATGAGGGATAAAGGATGTTCAAAATAGCGCTTTATTTAGAAATTTGGTGCTGTGTAGACTGCGCCAAACGATCCCGAGGTATCCCGAAATAGCTACCCCGCGTTTCGAAATAGACTTGAAATAAGCTATGCACATTGTGTAGCACAAATTGTGCATCTTATTTCGAGTTTCGGGTGCTGTGTAGATGCACCCAAACAGATTAGCAATGAACATTTGAATGATCACCCATGTTATCTCGCTTTGCGTAGACACGAGCCCTGCTGCTCAACTCTCCGACTTCAGTGGGGACATGGAGGAGGCTTGCGGTATTTTGCAGGACTGAATGCTTCATTTAAGTAGACCCAACCCTTGATTCTCCTCAGGTTCATTCTTCCTTAGTCAAAAGTCCCTCCCTGACCAAGAACATTCTAGTTTACCCAGCTCTCGTTGCCTGCATCAGAATTGTATTTAGAAACTGAGCGTCTCTCTCTTTTTATCAGAAACGACCCTGCTTTGCTGCCACACCTAGATTGAGAAGAGCTGAAAGAAAGAGCTGCTAGGAAGGAGTTGGCCTAGTTTCCACCTCTTCGGATGGACACGAGTTCCCTCGGTTGCCTAGAATCCCATGGACTTCAATGCGGTAAGTACTTTTTCACTTACTTTTTTGCACAGGGGATAAAGGTGCCATTTCCCTTTCTGCAGTGTCCGTAGTAAACTCCGTTCTGGTTCACCGCATAGCACGAGTCTGGAGCTACTGTTGAACCTGGGGAGGGGGGCAAACAAGACAGAAAAGCTGTGAAGAACATGGGAAAATAATACAGCACAAGCCAGTTCCTCTGCTGGCAGAAAACTGAAGGCATCACCAGCAGAGGAAACAATCCGTTCTGTTGCCATCACATAATGTATGGATCTAATCTGAGGTGCAGGGGCACCTCACTCAAATGAATCGTGCAAGGCACTAGCACCCAGGATATACTCGATGCTGTCAGAGCTATGTAGGAATAGCCGAGACACAAAGGGAGGAGGTGTAGCCACAATGCAATATTTTAGTATTGGTTTAAGAATATAAGTATGATGTATAATGATTTGCTGATCAGTTCTGCATGCCTGACTTTCACCCTCTTTCTCAGAATTAGCCAATGTCTGCATTGCAAACTAAGTTGTGCCTTCTAGTAACTCTGCCAGCCTTTGTCTGGAATGCTCCGTCCATTGTTTGGTGTGAGTGGAGAATGGGTGAAGCGTCTCACCAGGAAGGTTCAGATGGTCAAAAAGACTTGGGAGACTTGGGGCACGTCTAGACTCCATGGCTCCATTGACGGCGCCATGTAGATTTGTTTACTGGGCATAGGGAAATGAAGTGGCGATTTAAATAATCACCGCTTCATTTAAATGTAAATGGCTGCCGCGCTGTGCCGATCAGCTGTTTGTCGGCACAGCGCTGTAGTCTGGACGCTCCATGGTTGACATCAAAGCCCTTTGTCGACCGCCCCGGTAAACCTCATCCCACGAGGAATAACGGGGCGGTCGAGTCTGGATGCTCCATGGTCGACATCAAAGGCATTTGTCGACCTCCCAGTAAACCTCATTCCACGAGGCATAAGAGGGAGGTCCAGACTACAGCACTATGCCGCCAAACAGCTGATGGGCACAGCGGGGCAGCCATTTTAATTTAAAGGAAGCTGCGATTATTTAAATCGCCGCTTCATTTCCCTTTGCCTACAACCTTAATCTACATGGCTCCGTCGACGGAGCCATGTAGTCTAGATACACCCTTGGAGAGACCATCCCTGGTGCCCAAGGCTGAATGAATTAGCAGAATAGAGAAGCTCTGGAGACAGACAGATACTCCCCAAGGAAAACCCCACAAGATTTACTTATCAAGGACTGTAGCATGTCACTGCAAAACCCATCAGCTCACATGGGATCTTACAAGTAGAAGATAGAGTGTTCTTGCCGTAAGTGTCTGGGTGTGGTCCTGCAAGCCAACCCTTAGAAGAGCCTCAAATCATGATTCATAAGCACCGACTCCTCTCTCCATGTTCACACTGACTTGGCCAATAAGATTCGCTTGAGTCATGAAAGGCTGGATGTTCTCACTCATCTGCAGGTCTTGAGTATGTGTGTGTCAATACATGTGCTGCTTTTCATGCTGTGTTTTTAATAAACAGCCATTCCGTGTGCTTCTTATAAGCATAACAGGGGAGATGGACAAAAGATAGTTGGGTCAGGGTTCCTGCTAAGATTTTCCAACCATGAGCAGAGTGAGTTTTGGCTTGTGCACCAATATTGAGGTCATGTGTGCGGTTTGGATGTGTGCCACTGTGGCACCCAATTTATTCACACGCACGCACGCTCGCTCGCTCGCTCTCTCTCTCTCTCTCTTGGCCACCAGAACAGAAACCTTCCTCCATCCCCTGTCGCGGCGCGTCCAGACTACAACGCTGTGCCAACAAACAGCTGATCGGCTCAGCGCGGCAGCCATTTAAATTTAAATGAAGCGGTGATTATTTAAATTGCCACTTCATTTCTCTTTGCCTACAACCTTAATCTACATGGCTCCGTCGACGGAGCCATGTAGTCTAGATACACCCTTGGAGAGACCATCCCTGGTGCCCAAGGCTGAATGAATTAGCAGAATAGAGAAGCTCTGGAGACAGACAGATACTCCCCAAGGAAAACCCCACAAGATTTACTTATCAAGGACTGTAGCATGTCACTGCAAAACCCATCAGCTCACATGGGATCTTACAAGTAGAAGATAGAGTGTTCTTGCCGTAAGTGTCTGGGTGTGGTCCTGCAAGCCAACCCTTAGAAGAGCCTCAAATCATGATTCATAAGCACCGACTCCTCTCTCCATGTTCACACTGACTTGGCCAATAAGATTCGCTTGAGTCATGAAAGGCTGGATGTTCTCACTCATCTGCAGGTCTTGAGTATGTGTGTGTCAATACATGTGCTGCTTTTCATGCTGTGTTTTTAATAAACAGCCATTCCGTGTGCTTCTTATAAGCATAACAGGGGAGATGGACAAAAGATAGTTGGGTCAGGGTTCCTGCTAAGATTTTCCAACCATGAGCAGAGTGAGTTTTGGCTTGTGCACCAATATTGAGGTCATGTGTGCGGTTTGGATGTGTGCCACTGTGGCACCCAATTTATTCACACGCACGCACGCTCGCTCGCTCGCTCTCTCTCTCTCTCTCTTGGCCACCAGAACAGAAACCTTCCTCCATCCCCTGTCATGCGCTGCTGGAACAGACCCCCGCCCACCCAT